TCCATTGAACATTCTTTCTTTCAAAGCTGCTGACATTGACTTGTCCACAGCAAGCAGCCAACTGAGCCTCCTGGCCCCTGCTCTCCCCCTGCCTTCTCCTGGCTCCTGCCACCTCAGGGTCTTCTCCTGGCCTCTGCTGTCTCCCTGTCTTCCAGCCCTCAAACTGCCTGCTCTTGAGGGCTCCAGGTGCCTCTTGTCTGTTTGTAAATGGAGGACCCAACAAGAACTCTGTGATAAAAATCCTAAACACTCAGCTGAGTTTGAAGCCACTGGCTTTGCGTAATTGATAAACAATTTCCATCCTTCCCTGTCCTGGAAAGAAAAAGAATACACATTTTTAACCTTCATATTTTCTTTTCATCTCCTTGTATATTGCAATCTTTATCAATTCAAAACGTTTCCAAAGTTTTGAGCCAAGTATCTTTTTTCTTCCTGTGTAATGTGGAGAAATGCAAATGTTGAGAATTTGAGAGACTGTTTCTTACATAAATATGCCTTTTTTTCTCATGAGGCAGTCTCAGACTCTCTAAACCAGAGTTTCTGAATCACCAGGGATGGTGCCAAGCCTGAAGCAGGGAGGGGTGGGAAGCCTGGGGGGAGTGAGGGTGCCGGAGCTGGCACTGCCGAGGGCCTGAGCTTCCACAGCTGCTGACACTGCCTGGCTTAGGACCACACTCTGGCCAGCAGCTTCTTCAAGTACCCTGAGGCCAGGCGCTGAGTCACCTGTCTTCATCACCGAGTATCGAGTACCTAGAACATTGCCTGGTACAGGAGTGATGAGTGATTGATATGTGTTCATTAAAAACAAATCCATGGCAAAGCACACCAAACCGCACATGAATGGTTTCGAAACTGTGAACTGTGTCCAATCTGTGGCCCTCAGCTAGCAGAGGACAGCTGTGAATGCAGCCCAACTCAGAATCATAAATATATACAAAACATGAGAAGATTTTTGTAACTATTTTTTGGAAGTTCAGTTGAGCAGTTCACAAGGGTGAGCCTTGTAGAAGATGCTACGTAGCTGTGTCATAAGGTTAGACACATCTCACTGTCACCCTGAGTAGAATCCTCAGCTGAACAGGAACAGGTTCTACTTAAAGGATGAGAGGCAGGTGGACAGAAATGACTGAAGATGTCCCCAGTGAGACCAGGCCCATTGCAGGCTTGGTCCCATTCGCCCACATCCCAAGAGCTCTCAACAGCCCATGAGCTGAGTGGGGGCCTGACATGCACAACGCAAGGAATGAAGGGCTGAGCTGAGCTTTTGCAGTGTCGGAAGTATGATGCACAGTGGGGAACATCTGCTGACCCATCTGATCCTAGCGATTCAGAAACAAAATGTGTATCTGCCCACTGCGTTGTTTGTTCTGGTTGCCATGGTTGCAAGTGGAAACTGAGCTGTGGGTCACTTTCACTAATTCTGATCTTGAAATAAAGGAGTACAATTCTAGGAAATGTTCCAGACACGGGCTCCAGGCCCGACCATGCTTTACCGGAAGAGGAAGACATGAGCAAAAGCGATTCCTTCAGCTTCAGATTCCCAGCACTCTGTGTGTCCAATTTCTCTCCTCACTGGAGATGGGAAGGTGATTAATTTGGCGTGACACTAGACTCAGGGAATCTGAGATCACTCTGGATGCTCTGAGGGTGGCAGGCAGTAAGGATAAGTTCAGTATCCAGTTGGCTGACACTGGCATGCTATTTTGGGTGAGTGAGTTGGTCCTTGCCTGACGCTCCAGGTCCCTGTGGTGAGACTCGGCCTTGAAAGTGTGTGCGAGAAACACCAATGAGTCATGCCATGCGTGTCCCAATTTCTCACAGAATGATTCCTGCCAGGTAAACAACTGGTCAGTTTGTCTGCCACACACTGGGACGTCCCAACTGAGAACTGACCTCATCTTCTTCCAGGTGTCCCTTTAATTGCCCACATTCTTGACATACTTGAACCACCAATCTTGCATAAACAGGACTTAAACAATTCATTCTAGACTTGTGCTGTTTTCTTTCTTGGGTAGATTAGTCTCCACAGGCCCATTAAAGTTCCTCTGTCAGTCTAGCGGCTCATCCTTACATTTTTGCACATGGCTGGTGTCAGATGGCTCCTACGCAGTTTTCATGGAGTGTGCACCTTGACAGCTAGTGAACAGGGTCTATTTAGCTCTTTCTGTCCATTCTCCCTGCGTTACTTCTGCCTAGAGTGCTGATACAGGATGCCCTAACTCAAGGAGCTCCTGGCTGGCAGGCTGGGGTCCAAAAGGGTCTGGCCTTAACACCTCTGAGGCTCCCCAGGCGTCTCAATGAAGGTGCCATCTTGTCCCAAAAGACACTGTCCCCTCATGCCACGAGAAAGCAACCTGGTGTAGCCTCCTGCAGGCACTAACTCTCTGGGTCCATTGGACCCTCAGTGACTCATCCAAGAACATTCTAGACAGAGGTTCATATCTGCAGTTAATCCTGGATGTGGCTTCCTGCAGGGTAAATGGGAGTAGGGGAAAGGTCAATAGAGTTCTGGCTCCATGGGCATGGTAAGACCTGGTTCAAGACAAAGCCCCACACAGGCGAGACAGTACCTGGCACTGGCCTCAGTGTCAATCAGCAATTTCCTTCTCTCAAATACCTTCAACAGAAACCATAATGACGTGGGGGGAAAGCTTCCCTGATTTTTTTTCTAAACGTAAGAGTAACCTGTGATCACTTCCCTGGAGACAGGGTCTGAGTATTCTCATTTTTCACACTGTCTATAATTTGAGGAGCTCCTAGGCGAACCCACAGATATCTGAGCTCTTGTGCAATACCCTGATGCCTTTAGCAAGTGTGTTATGCCTCAACATGCTGATCCCAGGAAACCTTAGTCAAGGCTGCAGTATCAAATCCCCACCTGAGCGCATCCTGACAGACTAAGGCTGTCTTCTCTTGGTCCTCAAGAAGGATAAGACAGCAGCCACATCATGCGGTAGCCATATGGTGGGCCGGTTTGTGGTGCTCTGGTAGAGGGCCACACGTCACCTACTTCAGGAATCTTCGTCCCCATTACTGTCAATCCGGTGTACGACACGGCCCTCTGATAAGCAGACCTGCCAGTGGGTAAGCTTGTGCTCACACCCTGGCAGCGTGTGACGGGTGTGCTTTGCCTTCACAGTGCACAGCCAGCTGTGGGGGTGGCGTGCAGAGCAGGACCGTGCAGTGTTTGCTGGGGGGACAGCCAGCCTCGGATTGCATTCTGCACCAGAAACCAGAGACCTCCTTGGCCTGCAACACCCATTTCTGCCCTATTGCGGCAAAGAGAGGTGAGTGCCAGAGCACCTCAGCTGGACCTGGAGTTCCAGGTGGTGATGTCAAACTTCTGGAGAAGTCCCTTAGAAGGTCCCGGGAGATGGGGTGCTGGCTGGAGCACCCTGGAGCTGGGGCCTTGTGTCTGTAATAGTCTTTTCTTCTTCTCACCTCCTCTACTTTACAATGAAATTGTCATGATGCTCTCCATGCCACTCTCATCCCACCCCAGAAGGGACAGAGCCATTTGTGTTGTGTCTGTCCTTTCAAAAGCATAGGCTTACCTCTTTCTGTATGCTATATGGTATTCAGAAAGACAATTTTAACAAAAGTCCCCTTGAAATATACAAAACCTCCTTGCTCCTTGGGTAGACTCTAAAAGCCATCCTTGTGTATACATAAGGTACCTTAGGCATTTGCTGAGCCTGATACCCTGGCTGCCTGGACTGAATCTTAGGCCAGATTGCCTGGGAGTAAGGGTGGTGGCTGGACCCACCATGGGAATTAGGCATTTGGCATCCAGTATCCATGTTTTATACACCCTTCCTGGACAGGGAGCTGCGCCAGTGTATTTAGCACCAGAAGACCCCAGTTTTGTAGGGAGGGTTTTATGAAAACAATGCCCTGCAGACCCTGTTTACACCAAATGCCTGACAGACAGCGTCTTTATGGACTTATCGATTTTCTTTGGCTTACAGTTCCAAGGAATACAGTCCTGGTGGCGGGGGGTCAGGGAGATGGTGGCAGGAGTGTGAGGTAGCTGGTCACATTGTATCCACCGTCAGAAAGCAGAGAAGGAAAAGGAAGTGAGGGCCATGGTATGCAACTTTGAGACCTGCCCCTTGTGGTCCCCATTTTCCAGTCAATCTCGACTCCCAAACGTTCCACAGCAACAACAACTGGGGACCCAGAGTTCAGACAAAACAGTCTATTGGGGACATCTCTCATTCCCACAACAACCAGCCTGGAGGGGAGCTCCTCCTCGACCTTCGCAAATTCACTTTCCTTTGTGCAACAGAGTCCAGTGCTGCCCCTAGGAGCCTCGAGCTAACGCGCAGTGTGCTTGTTTCTAGACACCTTCTGCAAAGACCTCTTCCACTGGTGCTATCTGGTTCCTCAGCACGGCATGTGCAGCCACAGGTTCTACAGTAAGCAGTGCTGCAACACCTGCTCCTAGTCCAACTTGTAAGCTGGGACCAGTTCCGGCAGACAGAAGATGCCCCGGAGGATGGCGGAGAGGGGCCAGACCGGAGAGCTCTGCAGTATGCATTGGGATGCATCTGAGAAGACAGGAGCTGGAATAAGAAGGACAGTTGGGATTTTGACCCAAAGTGCATCCATGTGTTTGCGAGTATTGGAACACATACCTGCACCCACAAAGACACGTTCTGTTCTCCAGTTAGGTGGGAAAATAGGGTCCTGCTGGTTGACCTCCTGCACACGGACAGGAGGGCCTGTGCTATAGTTCGCAGGAAGCAACTTTCCCCCATGTGTCCATTCAGCCAAACCACATGCCGAAAGACAGGCATAATTTAGCAAATGCTGGATGTATTTCTAAACAGAGAAGGGCAAGTAATCAGAAAAATGTGCACAGCATCTGCCACCCAGCACACCGGCCTCCCTCCTACCTCGGAGACCCCACTATCATCATGAAAGTTCTGTGAACACTGAAGGGCACCTGGGAGATAGCTCTCTCCTACCCCGGTGGCTCCAGGAGCTGGTACTTGCTGGGGACTCTGACTTAGGATTCGCATACTTGGAAATGGAAAACCAAAATTCCCACTAAGGTGCTTTCTGTACTTCCAAACCCTGGGCTGGAGGAGCAACTTTGTTCCTTTTTTTTCTTTCTCAGTTATTTACAGTGAGTTCTTAATTCAACCCATTTCTCAGTGATGTTCTGTTCTGTTTTAAATGGGGGATCAGAAGTACAGGTGACACTAATATCTAGGTGTCCCTGAAAAGGCAGGATCCCCAGTAACAGATATCAGTCAAGTGGCTGATGTGCTGGTAGTGTTGAGCCCTAGGCTGTGGTTTCTGTGTTGAGCGGTTTTAAAATACATTCCATAGGTTTGATTGCTTCTGAGCTGAGAGCAAAGGCCAATGACCTTCAAATGAAAGGCCTCGTGGCCACCCTCCACTCTACCCCCATACCTCTCCCTGTCATTATTGGTGCTTCTTTCTGATCTCCCCACCTAGGGCCTTCCAAATAGGCTCCTAGATATTTATATTTGCTGAAATTTTATAATAAATTTTATATTGTATGGTATGCTTTGGAATCGCATCATGGTTTGTCCCGAGGTTTACTTCTGAGGTGAAGGGCTGGCAGAAGATACCAGGAAAGCAGTGTTGAAGAAGGTTTTAGAACATCATGGAAAGTTATCCAGCCCTGTCACAGATGAGAGGATAGAGCTGCAGGAGAGATGGGCAGGTGAAGGTGGCGGAGGCTTTGTGCTGAGCAGTAACGCCTATGCAGCAATCCTTGCTGGCTCTATGTGGGGCTGTCCTGAGAAGCAGAGCCCACAGACACTATAGAGAGAAGAGAGGTCATTCTAGGGACTAGCCACTGATTACAGAGCTCAGTCACCTTGAGGTCTGTAGTGGAAGCCTGCAGTCTGGAAATAAGAGAGTTGGCATTGCCATTTTGAACACGAATCCCAAAAGACATCAGGCTACAAACTCGGGTACAACTTTCATTCAGGCTGGGTTTTAATCCACTATGTAGCCAAGGATGACCATGCACTTCTGATCCCCCTGCCTCCATGCATCAAGTGCTTGGATTATCGGGGTGTGCTACCGTGCCTGGCTTATGATGTGCTAGGAATGGAACCATCGCTTTCTTGGTGTTCAGCAAGTCCTCCATCAACCAAGCTACATTTCCAGTGTTGGCCCACCCTTTTCTGTAGGGTCCCTCAGCTGGTCTGCTAAGGTCCACTCACATGCTGGAGCATAATCTTCCTTTAAACGCTAATAACAATAAAAATGTTAGTCATGTCTAGAAAGCACTTTCACAGAGCATGTTGTCTCGCATTTATTTGGCCATCACAGGCCTTGGCCAAGTTAGCCCATCAGAATAATCACCACAGCACTCCCTCTGGTTCAGAGGTATCCAGACCTACCCGGAGCCCACAGGAAGCCATTGCTGTTCCTAAGGCTGAGGCAGACCACTTCCCACAGGGACTCATCACCTAACCCACTGTGGGAACGTCAGCTCCCCATGACTGGCCCACCTACCAGCAGTCTGCTTTGCTTGGAAATGACACCTGCTGGTGCAGGAGCACACCACAGCATTGAGTACACAGACCGTCTCATCTGCCTGAATGGAGAGATCCCATTATAACAGTGTAACAAACAAGAAGGTGACCTTCGGCAGATTGGAGCCAAGGGGCCCCACAAAGTCACACCATGCAACAGAGCTCACATGGGAGGCTAGTTTGGAGGAGGTGAAGAGGTGGCCTCTGAGCCAGAGCAGGAAGAAAGAGAATGAGGGGCACGTGGGAAGATCTTACCTTTTATAAGGGGATATAGTGAATGTGCATAGTTAGAGCGCTCTACTTGGTGATGGTGTAGCTACAATGTCACATCTTGGCTACTGCTGATGACGTGTCCTGCTAGGTCCCTGAGAGCAGGCCAGTGTAAATGCCTGAGTGCTAACACCCACAACCCATTTTATGGACAGATCAAGAAAGAAGTTCTATGTAGTATTCCCTGAAGACACAGACCAAAAAAGGGATTCATAGGTTTCTATAGGATGCTGTGTAACTTGTGTAACTTAGAGTGCCACATTCCACAGTCCTAGTTCTCCTGATCTTACAGCCCTGTGGATTCACCAACCTCCAAGCTGCTGCCAGCAAATCAGACTTCTAGGAACCAGTTCCTAAGATACCTGTTGGCCTAGTTTTGTGAAAAGGGCAAATATGATCAAGATGTGGTGCCAACACCATCATGAGATAGTATGCAGTCACAAATTGACATGAGCAACCACAGCAGCATTCCACAATGATAGGACCAGGCAGACAGGCTGCCTTCAACAGGGAGCAACAGTGATAGAGAGAAGCAGCCTTCTACCTGGTGCTGAAAGTGAGGATGGAACAATAAGAAGGGGAGGTAGTGAATGAAGCAACCACCACTTGCCAATGGCTCTGCTCTCAGGGAAAACCATGAACAGAGATGCTGAACTACATCTGCCAAAGTCAGACTCGTAAGACTAGAAAACCGAGGTCCTTCTCAGCCTCCCCACCCCAGGCCATCACCTACTCCTCGTCTTCTTCAGAACTGGACAGAAAGGATCTCACCCAGGCTGGACCAGGTCTGACCAGAGTCTTTATCTACTCTCTGCTGTCAACATTGGAATGTGCAAAACTGTCCAGGACTGCGTTTTGCTTGGGATGTGTTCCGTGTTTGCTGAGTATGGAGCAAGATGTAATACTAAAAGCACTGAACCTGCAACTCTCACTATGAGGGGCCATTCCAGTTTCAGAGGGAAGAGTGGTTCCCAGGCTGTCAGGATGTAAGCTGAAAAACTGATTGGGCCAGAAAACAAGAGCTCAGCAGCGACCGCAGCCACAGTCTCTGTCTTCATGTCCACAGCACATATTTTCTTTCCACTCTGTCTGGTCCTTCCCCTTGGTGGACACTCCTGTCCTCCACAATGCTCTAGCTTCATTGCCTCTGTGCCAGGCATTCTCAGTCCGTCATTTTCAGTAAGGCTCCGGTCACTTGAGCCATCTGCAAATGCCACTGACATAGACATGTTGCTGCCTCCCACTGATAACCTGGGATTTACTTAAAAGCAAGTGCTGGGCTTGCCCACTGCACCAGGACCCACCCACTGGACCTGGATCCCACTATACTCGCTCTCCAGTGTCCAGAAATATTGGGTTATCAGATAATCTCTTCCTAACTGGGGGACATTTCTCAACCTCTTTCAACTTGTGTGTTCTGATGTTGTCTCTAGCTTTGGGCCAGAAAATGGTTCTAGGGACAGAGCATATAAATGCCACAGGGATGATGAACCCAATTCCAAGTAGATGGCGGGGTCCTGTCTTCCTACCTTCGTCACCCCCACACACACACTCCATATGAAATGTTGAACACTAGGTACCAGTGGACCCATGGAGGTGCTCAGCATCCCCCCCCCTCGCTCCTTTCTCAGAACTCTTCACTCACCTCTGACCACTTATATTGTCCTGGAAGCATTGTTTGGTTCTGAGCCCCAAGGAGCTGTGGTCACTTGATTGAGACGAATCCTGGTGTGTTGTGTACTACCCTCTTAGCAGGTGACAAAGGAGCCAAAGCCGGAGCAACAGAGAGTTGAGAGACATCTTTACAGCCTTGGCATGCTGGGTGATGGATGAGTTTACAGTGAGTAAGGGCTCTGGCTGCTCCTTATCATGGGGGCTTAGGCGGGATTTTCTCTGCTCCTTTGTCAATTGTCTTCAGAAGCCATGGCAGAGCCACAGACAGCCAATGTCCTGTCTCACTGGCCTCTTGGGAATCATGCCAAGTGCTGCCTTTTGGAACCCAATGGGATGAGGCCAGAATGGCCCAGCAACAGGCACCACAGCCATCTGGACTCCTCGCAGACCCCAGGAATTCCAGGCTGTGAGGGAGGCAGACAGCAGACAAAACAAAGCTGTGGGGAGACAAAGTGAGGAACCAGCCCCAACCGGCCAAACCAGAGCAGGCGGCACTCCCCTCCCTGTCTGCCTGTCTGTCCCTCTGAGTCCCGCCAAAGCTCCCTGTTGCAAACAGCTCCTCCCAGCCTAGCCCAGCAACTCCAGTGCCCAACATCTGTAGGAGACTTTAAGATAAAGAAAGCATCCTACACCCCCCAAAATTCCTATGACAAAACTCACCCTTCCCCACCCCATACCCAGTATTGCTGCTTATCTTTGCAATTCTGAGCCTGTCTGGGAAGCCAGAGCAGCCATGTTTCAGCTCCTGGCTTTACTCCTGGTAGGGTCTCATGCCTCTCTCTGTATCTCAAGGGACACATCAAAGCCCCCTTGAGTCTGTTTCCCGCAAGCCCATTCTTGCCTTGGGCAAGCTTCCCATCCTTGCTCCCATCCTTGCTCCCATCCTCGCTCTCCTCCAGTCTTTTTGGACTCTGTTCTTTGTACTCCAACTCTGATATGCTGCCCTTCTCAAAAAGCTTCTTGTCCTCTTCCTTTACAGTAAATGTTTCATGCC